CTACAACAAAGACATATCTGGACCCAAATGTCAATGGTGTCAAATGGGGTTGAGAAACCCTGTTTTATATGATGGGGAAAGGACAAGGCTCTTCCTGACTGCATCTGCCAGGCCCATCCCTTTCCCTTGCTTGCTATTTCAGGTACCGAGAAGCCTGGGCCCTTCCCTGGCCCATACCTTCAGGATACTTGTAGTTCTGAGTGATGTCCTCACAGCGGTCACTGCCCACACCCTTGGTGCTGATGTTGTTGCCAACGTACTTTGTGTTGGAGTCAGTCAACTCCAGTTTCCCATCCTCACAGCACTTCCAGACCACACATGAGGCATTTATGGCAGCAAAAAGGTCTGACACTGCTGGGGTCAGCCTCAGCGTCCCCTCCTTGACTGCTCTGACCGGCACGAGATCACAGAACCCCAGGACTGAGGGAGAAAAAGGTTGGTGAGTATGGGAGCCGTGCCTAGACCTCCGCTCAGTTCAGAACTGCATCACCTCAGTCCCCATCCTCTAGCCTATTTTCCTTCCCCAAGGACCAGCGTCAGAGGTGAGCACTAGGCAGGGTTTCTGAGAGAGTCACAGAGGTGAAACTATTTAGTCATCAACTATTTAGTGATAAAACTTTTTGGTCATGGCCCCTGGCAGGAGCCCTCTCAGGAACTGGACAGGCAGAAGCTCAGAGGGCCACACTTAGAGTGAGGAGCTCTCAAGCCAGCTTTACCATGGATATGACAGGAATAGGGCCACCTTTCTTGAGCACTTACTAGGTGCCAGGCTCTGTGCCATTTCTGTTCCTGGGTGAGGAAGAGCTATCTTTCTGTGGGTCCTGACGCTTCCTGGGCTTGAGCCTATCCGGATACCCTCTTCATCCACGTCCAGAACTTCAGAACCCCCTGCTGCAAGCCCCTGGCCTAGCACAGTCACTTGCCATCTTAAGATCCTCTGCCCTTCACTGTGACCCAACTCCCTCACCCGCGGCTCTAAAGTGCCTCATCTCCCTACAGCCTTGTAGCCAGGATGGCAGGCACCTCTACTCCCATGAGCCCACTGGCATCAGGTCAGCTTTCTGCTGGCTGCTGTCATGCCTTGTGCTTCTACTGTTTTCGAGGATGCAGACCCCTTTGGGACTGCCTGCTGCTCCCGAGTCCTCTCCAGGGGATTTCTTCAGCTCTGTGCAGCCCTGCGTGGTCCTGGACCCACCCCTAGGCTTTACCTCTACCTCCATTAGGAGCACTTGAGTGCAGAATCTGCCATCCATCATAACCCTGGGGCAAGGCAGGCCGTGTCATCCAGCACTCTGTGGAAGTCTGGAAGATCCTGAATGTAGCAAAGAGAAAAATTCAAGTGGGAAGGAAAAGGAGTGCTGAAGAGGTTCTGGAAACGCAGCCTGGCAGAGTTGTTGTTGTTCCAGTGGGATGGGAGGTCACTGTGTCAAAGTGGCTGTGGCACTCCCAGGAAGGGGCGTGCACACCACCACTGACCATCAGCGCAGCCTCTAAGAGTCCT